TTCTGATTAATGCGCTCGGTACCGATCTGATGGGTACAAGGGTAGACATAGTATAGTCGCGAGATTTTTATGGCTGGTGCGAAAGAAGAGTGCGGATGAGAGATTGCTCAAATGAAATTTTCTTGAGATACATGAAAGTGGAGTAACGAAACTAACTGTTCTTGTAGGAAAGAGTAGGGATAGGCCACAACAACTCTCCCACTCCAAATGTCATTGCGAACCAACATGTTCATTTCTATACCAATCGTCTCCCTCATGGAACTGTCTACGGAAAGTCTCAGCCCTCGTCTTATTTACAACCTGAAGCCCCTCCCAATAACAAAGTCGTGTAGCTGCTAACTGGGCCATTCACTCTTCTGGATGCCAAACATACGTCTCTCCCAACTTGTTTCATATATACGTATGCCGTTATTATCCTTCCCTTTTTTCTAGCAGCGATGGCATAATTTGGTTAAACCTTTGTGTGAAGGGGGCCGCGCTCACCAAGTCTGTCCCAACCAAAGTTTTCCTGTGATTTTCTCGTCGAGACCGCATCTGTAGGATTGACTAATCTACACCATTTCCACGTCTCCCCATTCATCATGACGTCTCTTACGCTGGTTACGCCAATCCAACAAAGTGTCTACTCGTCCATCACCCTTCATAACGAGCAAGCATACAAACTTCATGTATATTAAGACAATCCAGCTTTAGCAACCTTCTCATCTCCATACAACTTTGACATCACATTGCTCGATCTTTTATCTTTCTTAATGGGTCCAAGATATTACTCGTCAAAACAGAGTTGGACAATTCCAAGCTAATGGACAGATGGAATGAACCTATTCGCCGTAGCTTTTGATCTTAGCTCGATAAGTGACAATAATTTAGCAGCATAGCAGCCTACCAACATAAATACAAGGGCTAATCGAGACGTAAATTTGCAGCACCTCAATTGTGTATTTTCCCTAGAGGGTCTATCAAGTTACAGGTCATCAAGATACGTTCACACCGTAAATTTAAAATCCACCATACATGTTATTCTATGGCTCCTAAAGGCCAGTCTTGTGTACTAGATATTTTTGTGATAATTTCTTGCATTGATAAGGTGTCTCGTAGTTAGCCCAGCATTAATGCACCTGAATCACACAAAAAAGAGCAATTCATTGTCTCAAACTTCACATGATTACGAACAATTACGAGTTTCCACTGTTGCAAATGCCTGCTAGAGCTCAATATTTTATTTGACTAGGTTCACCTTGTTGTCATGACAGTTAAGGTCTCACAAACTTGCTACTTGCGGCCGGCCCTTTCTAGTTCGCTGGTGGTATTGGCAATAAGCACCATTTATAATCATAAGCATGCAAATCAGTGTTGAACTAAGGTTATCTTGATTCCTGGCACCGCATAGCCCCAATAAAGAGGGTTTCAGGGGTGTTGTCAGTGTCAGAATCTCCCATTTCCACATAACAAATTGAGTTCTAGCTCACGTAAGACCGTATGAGCATATCCGCTACAGCGGTATTTGACTTGATCCGAGCATTTGTTTGATTGAGGAAATGTAGATAATGCGGATTTTTAAGGGGAACTTGTTATCCATTTTACGAATTAACATTCTACTAATTGTCGGAATCTGTCTATGTAGAACCATGAGATGTGTTCACCCTATTTCATTTAAGGTGGTGAAGGACTTTTATTTGAAGTGACCCATAATGGTATGAGTAGACATTAGGTTTATACTGAATTTAGCATAGCCTCGCTTCTCAAAAGGAATTCTCATCGAGAGTGGGCCTCCCCAAGGTCTCATCATGACCCCTAGCGGAACTCGAACCACGAGTCGGGCTGTGCTTGTTGATGAGACTTAGGCGAGGTCGAAACTGCAATCTAGCCAAGCCCGGGAAATTGAAATAAGTCATTCACCACCTTAAACGAAACAGGATAAACGCATCTGATATATTTGATTTATTGAATGTCTCGAAAACCTACGTACAAACGAAAAATATGTAGAGCCAGTCTGTACTTTCCTTGCTAGTTAGGAATGAAAAAATGGTTTAGTTACCATGCCTTTGGTTGTAATATCAGGCTTCGCTGGACGTATGGTCTGCTCGTGAAGATTTGGATGCTATCCAGGGTGTCATTGACACGGAAATATCATGAGTACCATTTGGTGCAAATGAACTTCATGCTAAAGCATGGTCGACGAGATGCCAGAAAAATTCCAAAATGTGCAGGTTAGTGACAACGAACGTGTCTTTTAATAGCAAATTGTATAGGCAATGCCTGAGATATATTTACCTTATTTCGTTAAGGTGATGAAGAACAGGAAGTATAGGCCATGTCAACTTAATAATCTGCAAAGGCCAAGCATAACTAGTTTTAATTGTACACTGAAATTAACCCCAAAGGACATCATGTTAAGAGGTCATCCAGACAACGCATTAAAGAAAGATTAAATGGAACAGGTTTTAGTTTAGGTGAGAAGTTCGTAAGAGCATAGCTAGTATAGCAAGCCACAGTGGTAGCAATTCAACGAAAACGCAAATCGTTTAAGTCAATAATTCTATTTGCATTGCTTCAGAGAGAGTCCAAAAGCTCAAGTCCCCTAGCGGATATTAAATAAACCGAAAAAGCCTTGCCCCGTGTCTGGTGCAGAGATATTGATGTAGGATGGAAACTGATGATTGGCATAAAATAAGCAATGGGATTTAGTGATCTAAATATACACTGAAAATGTGCGAAACGAGTCACGGAGTACCTGGTGTAGAACAAGAAACTTTATGGACGATAATTTGAAGTATAAAGGCAAACACAATGGCAAACTGTGGTGTTGATGTAAGTTTTTGACCTAAAATACTCGTGTAATTTTAATGCCACGCTATGATTGGTTCAATAGGGAGGCTCGATGCGATGGTTAAGTGGGATTAAGACTGCGGGACAGTGTTGATAAGTCATGCTCCAAGTGATGCTACGCATTTTTCCGTTTTACAGGCAGGTTCTCGGGACTAACAGTAGATTGTATATGAGATCTAATCACACTATTTCGTTTAAGTAGGATTGTATCGCAATTATGTGGATAGACCCTACGTTTCTATTGGATTTCCAAAGGATATTCTCATTCAGAGTGGACTGCAGTTTCAAACTCGCCTAGGTCTCGTCAGCACCACCAGCGTATAACCTGGACGCGTTAACCGCTATACCACAATGACCCGAGCAGCCTTAGGCCGCAGGACAAGCGTCAATTTCAAGAAAGGTCAGAAAAAATTAAACCGAGCCCTCTTATCAACGAAATAAGGTAAATACATCTCATAAGTATGATCCATTAATGGTCTCTAAAACCCGTTTATAAAACGAAAAAATAAGTAATGCAGTCAATTTCCATAGAAAATAAGACTTTTCCTCATCGACATTCCAATCACACGTGACACAGGAAAATGCTCGGCCTTCCTTGAAATTCATATCTTTCCTGTGACCCAAGGGCAATCGTGGCAACGTAGAGTAGTGGCTAACGTGCCGAGATTATAGGCTGCATTATCATGGTTCAAGCCCCGCTAGGGATGCCGATGATGCCTAGGCGATGGCGAAACTTAAGTCAACCCTGGATGAGAACCCATCTTGGGAAAGCAAGGCAATGTAAAATTTAATGGGAAAGTTCAATTATCAGTCACCTTAAACTTAATAGGGTGAATACATCTCATGTGTATATTGTGCGTTGGGCGATGACACGCTTACTAGCTGGTTAGGATAATAAATATAGCAAAATAGACTGCGGAATATGAATCACCACAGGATCCATTGAGTCTCCCTCCATTCGTTGTACCTGCTTAAGCCAGCATGCCTATCGCTAACCAGAGTGCAGGTTCTCTATAATAGTTTCCGCCAATTCCAGGGATTCAGCTTCAGATAGCCCTTAACAGTACCCGAATGTAGGATATGCGGTTCCAGGGTAAAACACGTTAACTTCTGAGTGAATCAACTATAGCCCTGTCGAGTTACACGATAAGCATGACTCTAAAGGAAAACCAGATTTTTCTCAACTCGCTTCCTCATGGGGATGGAAATATACGATAATTAAATTCCCGTAAGGCTATGTCAGATCAAAGTAAAGTTGAATTGGGGATACCTTCAACGGCAATTAAACCGAAGTGTTTGCTGAGCAATAAAATGCACGCTGAATCAGGACGAAAGGGTAATCGGATTTTAAAAAATGATAAAAAGAGATACCACCGATCAGAAAGGCTTAATTAATAAGAACAAAAGATGGATTATATGGAGCATGACGCAAATGATACCATTAAACGGGAGAATACGATGTTTAGACAAAAGAGTTGAGGTTAAGCCAGGAAGCGGCATGAGAAGATAGATAAAAACAGGATTAGAAATATGTGGTGGCGAGGTGGAGAGATATTCAGTGTTTATCGACACAGCCAAGTTAGAAATTACCCGTGTAAATATGATAACAATGAGACAAATGAAAATATATATCAAAGGGGAAATATTATTTAAAAACCGGAGACAGATGGAAAGCATTACCAATATAGGATGGCACAAAAAATTCTCTGAAACAACATGGAAAAAGTTAGTTATGAAGATGTATCAATATTGCTATATTTACGATTATGCTTGGTGAAGGAAAAAAGAAAAACTAGAATCAACAACAGAAAGTCCTTTTAGAGTTTTTCGAATGATGGGCTCAGGAATTCAATATATGCACGGAAAGAGCGAATGAAGGAAGTATGGACACAATGTACAAAACAGAATAGAAAGGGAAAAGGCAAGTGAAATAGATGAAAGAAAACAAGTGCAGAAATGATCTGGACCAGAAAATAATACTTTGGGTATTTAACCAGAAAGTAGAATGTGAAAAATTCGAGTAATGTTAATGTAAATATAAATTTCATATAGACCTATGGACAATTCGAACATACGATATGAATCAGTTGACAATTCATGGACAATAAATAGAGCAAGATAAAAAACGAACATAAAGAAAACACATTTGTCTGATAGGATTGTGAGGGAAGTTACATGCTGGAGCCATCAACCATATTACTTGTTTCAGAATCAATAAACCTGCTTTGACTGCTGAACCAGCCAGTTTCCTTCCAGACAAACCAGAGGCTTGGCAGCCAAAGCAGAAAGTTAGCGAATCCGAATACCTGAAAATGAAAATGGGGCAAATGCTAAGTACCCAGTAGTAATGGCATACATTATAAAACAAATCTTATTCCTTGTAATCCTACATACGAAAATGAGGAAAATGTCATTTTTTGTACTCACCGGGATAAATTAGCTATAAGTTGTAGATAATAAAAGTCATTAATGCACAGACAGAGATAAATTTTATATTGTATCCATACATAAGCCTCGAGAGCTATCAATCTCAGAATAGGCCCAAGTAACGATTTAAATCACACAATCATATTCATATTAAGTTACTAACAAGAGGAAAACATCCTTTTCGCTTTGAGTAAAACAATGAGAATGTATCAAAAATAAAATGAAATCCTACTCATCACAGCAATGTAGTGTACATTCTTATTCTTGCGACGTCTAGCGATCGAAAACATACATGTCTACATATATATACATATATGTATAAGCAGTATCATAAGTTCCAATTTGGGGTAAAATTAGCCAAATTTCTCAAGGTTTCTCACATATAGAGACATCTTAATTTCCGACCTATCTAGGTCCATATCTGCAAACCAAAGTTGGTAAGAATAATTTCCTGGAATATTGGTCAAGTGCCAATATATCACAGGAAATATATTATTTTTAAGAGGGACAGGTCTTCCTTAGTTCAAAGTTGTACATAGGTGTCTTGAAGAAGTAGGCACACTTCAATCAAACCCAATAAGAGGCGTTTTAAGCCGTTTTGTTGAAACATTAATTGAATTCTATATTGTCCTGAAAATCACATCCATGCATATTTTTTGTTAGAGTCAAGATCGAGGTTCAGAGAAAGCGGGATAAGCTTTTACACAGACAAGTTTTAAATTTTATCCTCTGATATATTCAAATGCACATAAATATAAGAGAAAAAATGAGTAACAAGTGCAGTCAAAAATAGGCGATCTGGGAATATAAATGTAGCTAGTCATAAAGTAATTAGGACCAAGGTAACAATAGGAAAAATGTAGGAGTTTCTTACCAGCTTAGGAAAGAGCATTATATGTATTGAAATTCAGAAAGTAGAGAAAAAAAGTGCAACAGCGAATAGAGAAAAATAGAAATCACTAAACCATAGTCTAGTCTGAGAAAATTAAGTTTAGAATCGAGTCAGGCGTGTTTTAAGTAAATAGCAGCGGTTTGCATAAAAACCATCAAAGCTGTTTGTTTTGAACTTGACGAAGTATTTACTGATCATAAGTGCGAACTTTTTAGCACTTAGCTGTCACTAGTTGTTTAGATAAGAGATAGTGATTTAGCCAAGGGCTAATATCAGACTCACATTGAGGTTAAAGACGTGCACTTTAAATACCCTGTCCCATGTTCTCATCTCATCTCATCTGTTTCTAGGCCAGACCCGATACGTCAAAAGTCCTCTAAATAAATGACTTTTTTATAAGTCCATCAATCGCTGACTAATAGGCTGTGATCTCCTGTATACACACACGGAAGAGGTTCCAAACGGTTGACTGGGGATAAGCACCGAAATATCTGGGACAACACTTAGTTAACCCAGGAGAGGCGAAATGAGAAGCGTGCAAGGAGCATAGCCTAGACGAAAAGATAAGGAACATCATGTATGCAGGTCCCTTCACAGGAGCCAAATCTGACCGACATTTTTGGTAACGTTTTGTAGCTAGCATACAGGATGATATCTCAATACTTTATCAAAATGTGATGTGTATCAAGCTTTAGGCCTATTAATAAGATGACCAACTAATGAATGGGGAACATTTCGAGAAATAGTTTTGTCATAGCAATGAAGTAGCTTCGACACATATAGTTTTGGAAAGCGGGATAGTTGATTACACTGGCCACAGTATCCCAGATGTATGAAAGCTAAGGCATGTCCTATCGATGGTTTGGATAAAAATATTTTCAAGTATTGTATCAGAACGACGTTAAAAGTTATTCATGACATTTATTTGTCCCCAAATACTCACCAACTTCTAAGGCCAGGACCAATCCCCACTATTTGTATGAGTGCTAAAATGACACCCCCTTTAGCCCCTTGTTCTAATCTCTTGCGTGGCTCATAAGGTGTGCAGATATTTTGCCCTCACTTCAAGGCTTATGATTCGATAAATCTGCAGAATAAAGCTCGATTTCTATACCATTGCATCTATCAATATCTTTTACTCCTCTCGAGCTGACTACTTCACTGTGCATCTGCTACTCATTAAAACACAAGGTGCATCACTTCCTTGAACACAAATCGGAGCCAACTTTTTCAAAATTGAAAGTGTATCAGTAGCCCTAGGGGCTTCGCTATTCTATTTCACCTTGTTTCTTTAAATAATCAAGTCTTTAATGATTAGTTTCGAAGAAAAAAATGTAAAAGTTGTATATGAGGTTTCTTCAACCCATCTCGTTCAAGGTGGTAGTTGAATTTTCCAACTACTATGAATAGATCTTACATTTCCATTAAATTTCGCATTGCCTTGCTCTACCGAAAGGTAGACTCATCCAGAGTGGACTGCAGTTTCGACCTCGCCTAGGTCTTATTAACACCCTCAGCAGAACTCAAATCACGACAGTGCAGAGCATAATATCAACACCTTAATGACTACACAGAATTACCAAGTGTCCTTGGGTCACAGGGCAGATATGGATTTCTAGAAAGGCCAGGTAATTTTCTACATCACATTGCGTGGTGAGATTGTCGATTAATCGATGTTGTATTTGTTATAGCAATAGATTATTTCTTGTTTATATCAAAATTACCTAATGGCAATTTCAAAACCCTGCTTATAAAAAAATAATTAATCATTCTTGTAGGAAGACTTAGGGGAACTCACTTAGTCCGGAGTCCATTGTATGCTGATTATTTCCAGAGTCAGACCGTGGATGTGGCACATTCCCAGGCGTTTCGCCAACAGCTTCAGTGAGTCTTGCCATTCTTAGCACTACACTGCAACTCTTCAGAGACAAGTGAAACCGATCCTTTGACAAAATTTGTGCTAAACAGTTGTGAAATCTCTCCTTCTGTCATGGGCTATTCACCTTTCCTATATCCTCGAATCACGCTTTCACTATCACAAATTTTTCCTAGCTCATTTAAATGTAGTGTGGTGTGCCTCTTTGAGCGAATTTCGTGAGAACACTCCAAATTCTACGCTGGAGTTCTCAACCCCCTTCACCCTTGTCCTTGGAATGTTGATCAGGGTCTGCCATATTGTTACGCAGTCCATCCCTGGGTCTTATCAGTCTCCTTCTTGCCTCGTAGAATCCGTCTGCTATCTCCCTGGTTCAAGTATTTCACTCGACCCTTGTCACCTATCTGTGTTACTCTAGGCGTTATTTCCCACACTCTGCGTCTGCAAGACAAACTTGAGACTAAAGAGCCCTAGTAATTGTCATTGTCAAGCATTTGCTTCAGGCACCACGTCTAAGCTAAAACAGGCCTACTATCAGCCAACTAGCTCTAGCCTCCGACGCATCTATCCTATTTCTATCCCTAATACGAAGTCTATGACTTGTTATGCCCTAGTCTCTTTTGCACCAACCCACAAATGTTGTGGTTCCATATTGAACCGAATCAAAACAAGGAGTACCACAATATTTGTGGGTTGGCACACAATAGACTAGGGCATAGCAAGTAATAGACTTGCTATTAGGGATAGAAACGATATAGACGCGGCAGAGACTAGCGCTAGTGGGCTGACAGTAGGCCTGTTTTAGCAGAGGCGTGGTGCATAAAGCAAAGGTTTGACGATGAGAATTACTCGGGCTCTTTAGCCTCAAGTTAGTCTAGCAGACGCAGAGTGTGGGAAATAACGCCTCGTGGAGCAGATGGGGTGGCAGGGGTCGAGTGAAATACTTGAACAGTTAGATAGCAGACGGATCCTACGGGGCAAGAAGGAGACTCTGATAAGACCTAGAAAAGGACTGCATGATAATAAGGCAGCCTCTGATCAACATTCCCAGCACAAGGGTGAAAACTCCAACGTAGAGTGTTCTCATGAAAACCGCTCAACAGGGCACATCACACTACATTCAAACAAGCAAGGAAAAATTGTGATAGAGAAGGCGTGATACGAAGATATAGGAGAGTTGAATAGCCCATGACACGAGGGATACCATAACTGTTTAGTATATATTTGGTCAAAGAATCGGCTTCACTTGTCTCTTTGACAAGTTGTAGTGGCGCTAAGAATGGCAAACATAACTGACGACGCCTGTAAAACGTCTGGGAATTAACCACGTCTACGGTCCGACTATGAAAATTAGCATGCACGTTATGGATTCCGGATTAGGTGTATTCCTCTAAATCTTCATACCAAATTGACCATGTTGCGAAAAAAAGGTCACACAACTTATAAATAACATGAGTTTAGCTTATTGAGGTCATTTGAATATAATCGATTATTTAAACAAGGACCGTAATAAAAAGGAGAACAGATAAGACCGATAAAATTAACATGCGTTATTCAGGCCTCAAAGAAAGAAGAAACGAAGTATCATATGTTCTGTATCAATTACAATCTCGGGTCGTGGTACTAACCTAACTTAGATGCGAATACATTTTGAGAATAAGCCCGCGTGCCACAAAGTAAGGTTACGAGTAGCTTAAAACGAATTCTTAAATTAAATTGACGAGAAAACTATTTCTCAGTTTTTGATAAAAGTGAGGGTCATGTTCAAATCAGCTTAAATGCAGAACGGAGGCAGCGACAATGCTTATGAAAAAAATCTGAGTCATTGGTGTAAAAGTAAAGAAAAATGGAAAAGAACTTACTAATGAAACATTGGCGGCACCATACGTAGGATCGTCTAATTGGTAGACCTTTGTTACCTGGGGCACCATATGCTTGAGCTCTATACCTAAACGATTAGCGCCAGTATAATATTTCAAATTAACGACACCATCCGCCCAAACAATGGATCCCACAAGCCAGAAAAATATTATTAAAACGGATAAGGCAAAGTCCTACAAGAATAAAGAGGATAAGCTAAGAATAAACATACTAATTTAGCGAATTCAGGTTTTGTATCATACAATTGACGTTTAAATAGATAGAATGCTAACGCTATTAAGCAGTAAAGAAGAGTAAAGACGCCAATAAACACAAAAAATTGCGAGCTAGCTGAAAAATCTCCAAAGAACTTTATCGGCGAAGCCCCGCTGGAGCAAATAGAGAAAAATTCCTTTGAATCCAATCTAAAAGTAATCAATGGTGCTGATTTACCTGAATGGATATGAAAACTCA